ACCTCCACTACAGTTCTTTTTTTTTTTTTTTATTTTTTTTTTTTTTTTTTTTTTTTTTTCATTTTCACTTTGTCAATTGTGACTAAATTTATGTACACATTTTACATAAAATGGACAACACAAGAAAAATTGAAGCCTTAACCTTTTCAAGGAGTGGTCCATATTGACAATGAAGGTGATGGTGACTAGTCCTAATAATACATGTAGTAATATGTACACATATATTTATATATCAATCAAAAAACATTTAAGAAAATAGAAGTTTGTACTTTGTTACATTTTCTATGTTATTTTCTTAAATGTTCTGGCTAATTAATTAACATTCTTTGTTTGCCAAAATGGCGATTTTATTTTTTTCTTCATTAAAATATATATTTTACAAAGCCAACTAAGTTTGTGTATTTATGGTAATTTTATGTCCTAATGTATCTTAAATTACAGTAAGTAACGTTATTATTAAACAAAATAAATACATTGTTATCGGTGAGCGTCTTTTATAAAATAATTAAATATCGGCCTAACTTGTGCATTCCACTGTTTTGTATATTAGCATATAATTGAAGCAAAAAGAAACAATTGATCATTACCATTACGACATTTTCTAAAAGATAACGATCAAAGCATACTTCCTTTTTTTTCTCGAAAATAAGTACTTGTTATTTATGAAATACAATACATACATACATACATACATGGGAAATACATGTAGCAAACTATTTTTCCCCGTGCTGCCGTGCACAATAAAAGGTTAGCGGAAGAAAATAGGAACGCGTTTGGAATTCATTTTAAAATGATTTTATTTTTTGTATAAAAATAAAAATGAAAATATTTTTAATCTCAGACAAAAATTATTTTTAAAAATGCGTTTGTGCGTTTGGTAGTTTTATCAAGAAATTATTTTCAATATAAAAAATCCATTAATGTCTTTCTCTCTCTGTGCTTGAGAGAGGAGAAAACAGAAATTAAAAATGAAAAATGATTAAAAGTCATTTTTTATTTCTCTCTCATTTTACATTGAATCAAAAAAATCGTTTTCATTTTCTTTTTTTGTCTTTAATTGTGCCAAAATGCGACTGTGTTTGAAGTTATTTTTGTTTTTTTCACGTTTTTCGATAAAAAAAATAAAAACGGGAGAAAAATGTGTTTCGCACAATTAAAGACAAAAAAAGGAAAATAAAAATGATTTTTTAGTTTAGTGTAAAATATGAGAAAAATGAAAAATGACTTTTAGTCGTTTTTCATTTTTTGTTTCCGTTTTCTCCTCTCTCTAGTAGAGAAAGAGAGAAGGAGACATTAATGAATTTTTTTATATTAAAAATAATATCTTGATAAAACTACCAAATGCATTTTCAAAAATGATTTCTGTGTGAGATTAAAAACGTTTTCATTTCTATTTTCATACAAAAAATAAAATCATTTTGAAACGAATTCTAAACGCATTAATAGTTTCTCTCCCTTTTTCATTTTTTCTTTCTCAAAAAATGAAAAAAATATAAACAAAACTAACTCTAAACAAGGCCTAGAAAACTACCTTGGACGTTAATTTTTGTCTATAGGTTAACGTGATCACTGATCATACATTTAGTTTGATGGTAATTGTGTCAACCTCTCTCTATGTATACTTTTTTCTCTGGAATTATAATAAATAGGATTTTAATGTGATATGAAAATATGCTCTATTTACTAAAAAAAAAAAAAAAAAACTCCGTTAGGGGGACACGGTTCTGGACAATTAAAAAATATCTATTTCATATAAAATAAGGTAAAGAAATTATTACAATCATGTTCAACTAAGAAGATATATATGTTCATAAAAGTCGCCTTATAATAAATTATTGGATAATTTGCATGGCTGATCCTTTAATGTTTTCATAGGTGATACTTTGATCACTCTTCTTTTAATTTTAGTAAAACAGTCGTCAAACTCTTAAAATGTTAACAATTAAGCCCTTTTCGTTAAATTAAGTTGAGACGTTTGGTTCATGGATTAGAACCATTTTCGATTTATGTGTATTTTTTGTGAGAGAAAATACTGTAGCAAACAACAAACCATGATTCGAATTAAGAAACGAATCCCCCAACCAAACAATTAAAATATTTTTAACATATTCTTGTACCTGATCTATCATGCGCTCTCTTTTTTAGGGGAAAGACCAAAATGCCCTAAATCTAAGCCCGCTGATCTTCTTCTCTATGTTTTGAAGTTTATGAGTTGTCTGATGTCTCTCTGCAACTTCACGTTCATACGGAGAATTAGCAAAGAAAAAAAAAAAAAAAAAAAAAAAAAAAAAAAAAAAAAAAGGAAAAACCAGTGAGCTTATTTTTAACACTCCATTTTTGTATATTGCAAAAATCAACTCTAACATTTTTTGTTCTTTGAATAGAAAATAGAAATAAATACATTTAGGTCATGTTCATTTCACAAATTTGAATTTAGAATTCGAGTTTTGTTACGGTAAAAAACTCTCTAAAATAGTCATTTTTTTTTAAAATAAAAAATTCTCAAATAAAGTCACATATCAACTTAAATTAAAAACTCAATCAACGAACTAAACAAACCCTTAGATTAAATTTTAATGGCCCATGGAAAGGTATTTGAAAAAAAAAAAAAAAAAAAAAAAAAAAGGGTTGATTTCAAATCACAACCATAACCCAAAACGATCCGTGGAAACAGTCAAACCCACTTCTCATATATTTCCAAACCATCCATGATAGCAATCAAACTCGTAGCACAAATACAATCAGACCCACTTCTTTGATGTTCTCAAAGACACGGTAAAGAGAGACCACCATCTGTCCAAATTAGCTAAAGCCGAAGCATCCATCCAAGTATACAATCACCCTCAATCACGACGTGAGAGGCAATTAAAGTTCAAACAAAATTATAGAAGCCCAATCAAGAAATTTAATTATGCTTTTTTGTCGATTATAAGTAAATGTATTTTTACCAAAATGCCCTCCTATATTAGAGGACATGACTTGCACGCGGTGCATTCCGTTAAACTTTTAACGAAATTTGACGGAAAGGACTTAATTGTCAACATTTTAAGAATTTAAAGATTATTTTATCAAAATTAAAAGAATATGAACTAAAATATCACATACTAAAGAGTTAAAAGGACTAATGATGCAAAAGAGAAACTACTATACTTTTTTATAGTTATTTTAATTTGTGGGGGATTTCTACATCAAGAACTGCCTTTTTCCTCTGCCGGTAGAAATTAGCCTTCCTTGCCGATATGAACGAGCCATTTGATTAATTTAAAGCAGCTTGATATGCAAGTGTATATGTTAAGAATTTATTATGCGCGACACATAATTATTTTAAACTATAAATCAAGTAATCAAATCCTTAAAAAAAAATTAATTTAACAGTTAAAATAATAAGAGAGATTTTTTAGTATGTCTGGTGTACCGGTAAATTAAATTTTTTTTAATCGTTAAATATGTTTATTTTTTTATTTTTATATAATTTTATATAAATTTAAAGAATAAAAACTTGACCTATCAGTAATTAGTGTATTAAAAAAGGTCCTAAATAATAATTCCCACTGTATATAAAGTAGTTTCTACCTATGCGTAACAAGGGCATTATCGTAATTTTAATGGTTTTTCCCCTCCCAGAAGACCTTTTTCTTTTGCCGTTGTTTCTAAGAAAAGGGTCACACAAATGAAAGGTCCAAAAATAAGGTGGCGCCCCACGGATAAATTAATAAATCTTGATAATGGAGTGGACCCCTTCTTTTTTGACCAATCTTGACGTGATTGTACACATATCCGACGGTTGGGGTTAACTTATCCATGTCGAATTGATCCTGTAGGATAATCAATAATTACAGTCTCTTTAGCGAAAAAAAATATAAAAAAATAAAAATCATGGCACTAGTGTGTTTAGAAAAAGAATTAGTGTGATAATTTAAATTATAATTTGTGACTTATTATAATATATTTTTTTAAAAAAACACACTTAAATTAATAATATAATCATGATTTTAAACCGATAAATTAGACCTCATATGAAAACGTGTAAAAAACATATTCTAGAATTCAATTTCAATAATTTTTTTATCCAAAAATAAGGTGGCGCCCCACGGATAAATTAATAAATCTTGATAATGGAGTGGACCCCTTCTTTTTTGACCAATCTTGACGTGATTGTACACATATCCGACGGTTGGGGTTAACTTATCCATGTCGAATTGATCCTGTAGGATAATCAATAATTACAGTCTCTTTAGCGAAAAAAAAAATAAAAAAATAAAAATCATGGCACTAGTGTGTTTAGAAAAAGAATTAGTGTGATAGTTTAAATTATAATTTGTGACTTATTATAATATATTTTTTAAAAAAAATACTCTTAAATTAATAATATAATCATGATTTTAAACCGATAAATTAAACGTCATATGAAAACGTGTAAAAAACATATTCTAGAATTCAATTTCAATAATTTTTTTTATTTATTGAAACTCAATATTTATCTTTTGTACTTTCTTAAGTTTTTTTAATTATTAAAATTATATAATTTTTAATTTTTATATAATTTTATATAAATTTAACGAATAAAATTTAAATTATCACTATGTTAATGTACTAAAGAATATCGTAATACTTTATTGCAGTACTTTTTTTTTTTTTTGCTTGAATTTATTGTTCGTACTTGGT